CACTCTAGTCCTCTGTGGCTATGTCACTGACTCTGGGCCCAAGAGTCCCCAGGTCTTGCCACACTGCTGGCTAACCAGGTCTTCACCCGGGTTCACAGAAGTTTACTGAACATTGTAGTGTTTAGCTTCCGCTTCATTGCTGTTTTTCCCTCACTTCCCCTTATCGGTGTCGTGCGTGGTCACCAGTCAGAGTGTGTATTCCCCATTGAGTCTTAGTCTTGGAAGGGGGTTTGATGTTATCTACTTTTGACAGAAGATATCTATACATGGGTATCTACTTTTGCTACAAGCATATCCTTGAATGTAGTAGAGCACAGAAGGGGTAAAATTATGAAAACTTCTTAGACATTACCAAACACCTTGAGGAAATGAGTTGCTGGGACTCAGAACCATAGTCTCAGGGAATACTATGGTCAGTTAAGACAACATAGTGCAAAAAAACAATATTCTATATATCCTACTTTGGCAAGTAGTGACTGGAATCACTTTTAAAAGCTCAGGAGAGGTCACCTAAGGTACAACTATAACTCTCTTCCTGTCCAAAAAAAAAAAGAGAAAAGTAATGTAAATTAAAGATGCTTGGAAACAATTAGTACAGTGAATTAATGACCATGAGAAAGAACATCAGTCTCCTTGAAATTGAGACCATAAGATAGTGCCTGGCTGCCACTACCAAAAGCCCTGAAATGGATCAAATTACAGGGTGTTGGATGTTGTTGTTGTTGTTAAGTGCCATCGAGTCAGTTCTGATTAATAGTGACCCTATATAGGATCTCCAAGGACCGGCTAGTGAGCTTGAATTGCCGACCTTGCGGTTCAAACAGAATTTGCAGTCCAGCGTATTAAACACACAGCACCATACTGTATCCAGATGATAGACAGAGTGGAAGAAAATGTGGAGGCAAACCTCAAAAAAAAAAAAAAAGATCACGCTTCCTAGTGAGACAGAGACTAGTGGAACACTAAGACTACAGCCTTTAGTCACTCTTAAGGTCTAGAACTGAAATCACCCTCGTGTCTCAATTTTCAGGTAAGCAACATAAAGGGGACAACAACAGTAGTGAGATATGCACATCAGAGAATGGTCAGCAACTCGAGAACAAAGGGCAGCATTTACCTACGTACAAAATTCAAAAGAGTTTGGAAAGAAAGTGGAAAGGAAACAAGAAACAGAGGGAGGAAGTGGGGTACATGATATTAGATTCAGTACTATTAAAGTATTCTTTAGAGCCTATTCTACAATACTATAACATTAATTTTTCCTAACAAACTGATACATTTTATTTAAATTATTAAATACTCGTAAACAAGTATTATGAGCACTTTCCTACAAAAGATAATTGTTTCATACTAGTTTGTACTGACCTTACTATTTAAAAATGATTGTTACACCCTACAAAAGCTATGAACAACTAACAAATGACAATAAAAGATTAGTTCATTGAATTATGTAGAAAAAGCATGGAATTATTTATGCCCTGGATAAAGAAAAAAGGTTATTCAGGCTCAACCAAGGACAAGTCCCATGTCTGGAGAAGAGTCTTTAAATAGAACATTATTTTGTTTAATGTATTTTTCTAAATATCAGAGGCCAAATCACAAATAATTACAAGGGGCCTTCAAAAAGTTTATGGAAAAATGCAACTGAAAATAATGGAATGTTTCCATAAACTTTTTGAAGCCCCCCTCATATAACATCAATTTGCAACATGTAATATTTTGGATTATCAACACTACTACTTCTCCCATTCCATTAATCAGACACATATTTGGTTATATTTGTTTTGAATATATATTTGTTTTGAAGCTCCCTGTCCCATCTCAGTAAATTTTTGCCAATTGATCAAATATGGTAATCTAATCAAACAGGTACATAAAATTGCATACACAAATGTAAAGTTACTAACGATTTATTTTATTGTTGTTGATGTTGTTGTTAGGTGCCATCAAGTCGGCACCGACTCATAGCGACCTTATGCACAGCAGAACATAACAATGTCCAATCCTTGGCCAAACTCACGTACTGTTGCCACACTAGAGTCCATTGATGCTGCCACCTGACCAATCCACTTTGTTGAGGGTCTTCCTCTTTTTCTCTGACCCTCCATCTTACCAAGCATGATATCCTTCTCCAGCGACTGTTCTCT